CCCCATCTGTGAGGCCACTCGTGGCGCCCGGCTGCCGGCTCCAGCTGTGCCAGCCTGACGGGTGCAGAGCCGCCCCAGCTCGTAGGATGCCACAGGTCACGGTGGCCACCTTGGGCCGGGACAGAGGGCCCAGGTGAGGCACAACGCTGTGCTGGTCTTGGGGCTCAGAAGCAGGGGGACAGGCACAGCCAGAAGCTCCCACTGCCTCCTCTCTGAGGCCCCTCCTTGTCCTGTCCCCACCCTGGAGGGCTCCGAGGCTGTGTCCTGCACAATTCCAATGACCCTAGACCTCAGAATATGGCCTTATTTGGTAGTAAGGCCGGGGATTAGCTAAGGACGGCAGGAGGAACTCAGCCGGATTTAGGGGGACTCTGAGTCCAAAGCTGGTGTCCTTACACGAGGAAGAGGAAAAGGGGGATACAAAGGCCAGAGAAGCAACCATGTGGAGATGGACACAGAGGCTGGAGCAAGAAACAGCGGGAGCCACCAGGCACTGGAAAGAAAGGAAAGACGCCCCTAGAGCCTTCAGAGAAGCTGTTTGGCCATACCTTGGTCTCAGACCCTGGCCCTGCAGAGCTGTGGGAAGACAGATTCCTGCTGTTTTTAAGCACCTGGTTTGTGGTCATTTAGTACAGCAGCCCCAGGATACTTGCATATGCTGGAGACAGAGCCTGATCAGTCACTGAGGAAGCTCAGCAGCACCCCAGAGCCAGCTGGGAGGGGTGGGGTCTCTGTGTTCTCTAGGGCAGGGCTACCTCAGAGCCCATGGGAAGCCTGGGGATGGAGGGACAGGAGGGCTGTAGGGGAAGGACACCACCACCACTGTAGCCCTCACACCCCAGGACTCAGCCCATGGCCCAGCATCACGCCTCCTAAGAGAACAAGGACAGTGTCGCCATGAGGAAGCTCTGGCTGGGAACCCAGGTCTGGTTCTAGGTGGGTGTCAGGGCAGGTCACTTCCCCACTGTGGCCTCAGTTTCCCCATCTGTGAAACTGACGGCTGTGCAGGGTGAGCGCAAGGCAGCTTCTAGCTCAGAAAGCCGACTGGCTGGTTCTAGAAGAGGAGGGTGACAGCCCATGTGACTCTCCAGACTGGCCAGCTGGCCCTCCCCTGCACAGCCCTAAGTCCCCAAAGACTCCTGTGCCCAGGGCCGGATCCTCAAGGCAGCAGCACGGGAGGTGAGGGGATCACCAGGGCTGACCCCAGGGAGAGTTTGTCAGCTGAATGCGCTGGGGGAAGGGGGCTCCTGGGGATGCCCTGGTCCACCCCTTCCTCCCTGGACGCCATGAGGGGAACAGCGCCCCTCTGCCATGTTGCTTCTACCTTGGATCCGGCTGACCACAGAGGGGACCCTCTAGAACCCTGAGCCCAAATAAATACGTCCTCCTGCAGCAGGACCCCCAAACTAGCCACTGACTGGCTCGTCACCACCCCATGCCAGTCGACTGGACCCCGAGACCCACGGATGGGACCTCACACTGGCCACATGCTGATGTCTGGGATGTGATGGGTTAAAAAATAAAGCATTGTGGGCTGGGGGGTTTGGCTCCATGGCTCCGCCACCTGCCTCATAAGTGCAAGGTCCTGAGTTCGATCCCCGGGACCAAATAAGTAAATAAATACAGCATTGACTTCAGCATTTCATGCTCGGGGGAGTCAGAGTCCGAGGCCCCAGAAGCTGGCTCACTTGGGTGCTCGGGGAAATAACGAGCCGGAGAGGGAGCCTTGCTCACCCCGAGAACACCCAGGCCAGAGACAAGGGGACCACGAGGCCCCTGTGAAAACGCAGTCGGGTGCTGGGCCGAGAATGGAGCATCTGAGGGCACCAGGTTCAAGGACCTGGAAGTGACACCACGCTGGAATAGGGCCAGACGACCTCAGCGGAGAGGGCTGGAGGAGTGACCGCGGCGGCGGTGGCGGGTGAGCCAGGCCTCTGCACTGGCCCTGGCTTGGCTCTGAGCTGCGCCGCAGCGAGCCAACCACTCTGCCCCTGGGCCTGGCTGAGGTGCTGGGACCGCTCGGTTGTCCTGCAGCCGCATGAATTAATGGCACAGAAGGCACAGGGCAGGCCCTCCCCAGACTGTGCCCCGGGAGAGTCAGCCGCCACATCTGGAACTGTCCCAGAGAAATAAAAGCGATAAACAGAAAGCTGAGACCTTCGGCGTGGTTCTATCTACAGAGGCAACGAGCTGGAAACGACCTGGGACTAACTGGCAAAACCCTGCAGGGAGAAGGGCTCCAGTGCCACTACCGCAAGAGACAGCACTGCCCGACAGTCAGCAGGGCACGAGCAGAACGCAGGGCCCAGAGGATGAGAAGCCACACAGTGGCCTGGGCGTGGCCCAGGAGCCCTCACCACCGTGAGCCATTAAGGCAGACGAGCAGGCTCCAGGGCAGGGGCGGGCCTGCCAGGGAACAGGGCGCAGGGCGCAGGACTCTAGGCCAGAGGGCATGAGCGGATTTCCCAGGGACCCCTGGGTCTGCAGCGTCCCATCTGCCTCCCTGGCTGAGCCCAGCCTTGGCCTGGGAGCAGAGGGGTCCCAGGGACACCTGAGGGGCTGGTCCCTCTGTCAGAGACGCCTGACCCTACGACCAAGAGCGGGCATAACCTGAGTGCCATGGATAGGAGGAAGACAAAAAAACACGGTCTGTCCATGCTATAGTCTTGTGGTTTTTAAAATACTGGGCATCGAATCCAGAACCTTTACGCTGAGCTACATCCCTAGCCCCCTTTTTACAATTTTGAGACAGGGTCTTGCTAAATTGCTAAGGGGCCCTGGCTGGGCTACAACTTGTGATCCTCCTGCTCAGCCTCCCAGAGTGCTGGACGGCAGGCGTGTGCTACCAGGCCCAGCTTAGTTTCATCTTAAACGTTCCAAGGCCCACATGCAGAAGGCTTGGTCCTAGCCTGCAGCGCTGCTGGGAGGTGGTGGGACCCTTAGGAGTGGGAGGAGGGTGGCCACAGGGGACGCACCCTCTCTCTCCATTTCCCAGCCACGTGTTTGTGTCACCCCGGGACCAAAGGGACAGCGCCAAGCCACCCTGATGAAACCTCAGAATGTGAGGCAACATAAACCTGCCCTTCTCCTGCCTTGCTTACCCAGGTGTCCCATCTGGGCTCGGCGAAGCAGGCCGAAGCTGCCATGCGCCGGCACACTGATCACAGTGAAAAGGGGGTGGCACAGACAGAGGCCGCCGAGGCTGGACCTGGAATGTCCCCGAGCTCCATGCTGACGCTCAGTCCCTGTGCCCAGCCGTGTGCAGGGATGGGAGCCCCGGGACCATGTGGACTGGAACTTCGTCAATGGTCCAGAGGGGTTCAAAGCAGGGTATGGGCGGCTGCAGGGTCTCTGAAGGGCCTGTTCTGCCCCCAGGTTCCCTGTCCCCTTTCTGGCCACCATGAGGTGAGCGGCTCTGCCACTCCACCGAGACGCTCTGCCTCAGCCGGGCTGGGACACGAGGCATGGACGGAGGCCAGAGCCAAGACCTTCCTCCTGGGAGCTGCTGCTCTGAGCTGTCTGCACAGTGAGAGAGCTGACTCACGCTGAAGCCCAGGAAACCTGACACCAAGCAAAGACCCCAGACACAAAAGGAGAAGCCGCAACCCAGAGAGGAAGGGTGGAGGGTGGTGGTCAGGTGGGACAGAGGACAGCACAGTCCAGGTGGAAGCGGTGTTCCTTCGGGAATACAAGGGCATTAGCAAGCCTCATGCCCCGAAGGGAGCGCTCGGCGGGTGAGGGGGCAAATTCCACCGTGTGGCTTCTGTTTTATGTGACATCTATGCCTCTGCATAATTAGACGTCCTGAAGGCCACCTGTGTCCCCTATACCGGAGACCCTCAGCCTCGGCACTCAGGATTAGGCCTCCCACCCTCGGGTGCTGTAAGACCCAGCCTACGGCTCACACATCTCATTCCATGAGCATCTTCAGGGCCTCAGGGGACTCAGCCAGGCGTCTCAGTGGGAGCAGGGTCTCCTCAGCACCTCATCCCACTCTGCAAATAAGGCTCCCCTACCCTCCAGGGACCACTGCTCCCTCTGCAGCAGCGGGGTGGGGGTGGGGTGGGGGTGGAGCTGTCCACCAAGAGGCCCCGCCCCCCTGCACTGAGGGGCGGGCCTGTGAGCACCACCGGAACAATCAGACGCTGTCCGAAGCCCACCCTCCTGCAGTGGGAACCTAGGGTGGGCTCTTCTTCCTGGCAGGGACCTTCCTGCCTTTTACTTCCTTTCTCCTGCAACATCCCCCACCTCTGGGACATTCCGTCCTACCCGCGCGGACCAGGATCCGTTCGCACAGCTTACAACCCAAACCCCTAAGCCTGCCCATAGCTCAAAGACAGGGCCAGTGGTCTGATGACAGCAACAATAAACTATAGCAGCAGGGGGCACCGTGGTGGGTGGGTGGAGGGCCATGCGCCACACCTCCCGGGCCTGGCATGACCCCATTTTGCTGACAGGGAAACTGAGGCATGTGCTCCTGGGGTGGCAGTGAGGTGGTCCTGGTAGGTGGATGGCGGGTGCTACGGGCCGGGTCACCTGCTATGGCAGAGGGTGGGGCTGGTGAGGCGAGGGGTCTGGCGCTGCCAAGGCACCTGTGAGGGACCGAGCGTGGCTCAGGGTGGAGTGGGGACCCCTCCGCCAACCCCACTGACACCCCTCAGCCATTTCATGTCTCCTGGAGCCCTCACCCTCCTGTCCAGGTGAGGATGGGCCCCAGGTGCCTTGGGGGCCAACACCCTAGATATGCCCGACGCCTTCGTCCAGGACCCTCTCCTTCACTCTCCACCTGGCGTTGTCTCTCTGAAGGGGAAACTGAGGCTCCAGGGCACTGACTTTCCAGTGGCCAGATGGTCTGGAGGAGGGCTGAGTCCCAGCAGCACTTACAGAGCACTGCTTCGGACAGCACTCCAAGCGGGGCCCCCTCTGCGGGGCAGCAACCTGGGCTCGCCCTCCCTGACCTCTTGCCCCCTTCCCCGAGAGGGGCAGGGACTCCATCTTACCTTTCAGGCAGGACAGCTTAAGCCCCATGTTGGCGCCGCTGCGGGCCTGTGGAGAGAGGACAGCACTCAGCGAGGCGTTGAGTGGCCAGGACCCCACACCATCCTGCTGGGCACAACAGGAGCCGCGGCAGAGATGTGGTGAGGCTACAACGCCTGCTGACTGCACCTGGGCTGTCTGCTCCAAAACAGAGCCTGCGCTGGCAGAAAACCTCCCAGGTGGGCACCTCGAAGCTAAATACACCGGGGTCAGGGATTTAGCTCAGTAGTGCCACCACCGCCTCACACGCTCAAGGTCCCGAGTTTGAGCCCTGGTACCAAAAAAAAAAAAAAAAAAAAAAAAAAAA